CCCGGTGATACAAGCAGCTCTGCTACGAATCCTAACACATTTGCGTCCACTGCGGCCTGACCACCCTCGGGGGATGTCGCAATCCAACACAGTGTTTCTGCTGCACTCTCGATGACCGGCAAATGCGAATCACTGGTTTAAATTCAGCGTGATTCAATGACAATATGTGAGACTCACCACAAGAGAGTTACCAGATATTCGCAGGGGGTTATACGGAGAACCACGGGCAATATGGCCTCGTGGGCTGAGAGTTCCCCTCTCAAGTTGCACGTCCATTCCCGTACCCACGTTGCCGGTGATTGAAGGAGTTCAGGAATGCAGGCTAATATCTTTGCATCCAGGACAGCCTGCGGACCGTTCGATAAGGTGGCGATCGAATACAGTGCCCCTACTGCACCCTCGACAACCTCGACGGCTTCGTCGCTGATCGATAATCAAAAGTCTGTTGTAGCAGAGATAGTTGGCACTCACCGCAACAGCGATACAAGTTTGGGGCACATATTTACCCCTAGTATAGCTTCCGACATGATCTCATGAGTCGCAAGCTGTCTTACCATACCACAGGTCCATCTCTGCACGATGTTGTCGCGCGAGTCAAGTAGCTCACTGACGAATTCCAAGAATTTTGCGTCCACGGCAGCCTGTGCACCGTCAGGCCGGAGATGCTGGCCAGCGTGCGTGCCGCGCTCGCGATGACTTCCAGATCCTTGTCACTACGCGAGAATCAACGGCGTGCTGATGAACTGAAAGAAAGACGCACCTGAGAAGAGACACGAGCTTCTCGCAGGGTTTCATACTGATGACAGCTGCTAACGTGACCTCGTGGCTGATGAGCTCGCCCAGTAGACTGCACGTCCAACTTCGTATTTTGCTTTCCGGCGATGCAAGCAGGTCGGCGGCGCGATCCAAAATATCACTATGCACGACAGCCTCTGCGCCTCCGGGCGATGCGGCTATATTGTACAGTGCGAGCACAGCCTGCATTGAGACGTCCAGATTTTTGTCCCTGATCTAAAATTAATATTCCGTCGCGGAGGAAATGGAGACTCACTGCAAGAGTAATATGAGCTGTTGGCAGGGATTCGCCCCTAAAACAGCCGTCATCGTGTGCTTGTGTTGGGCCAGGTGGCCCAGCGTCTCACACGTCCATCTTCGGACGCCGGGATTCCGGGATTCAAGGAGTTCAACCAGCCGGCCTAGCACATTGCTATCAACGACCGCCTGCGCGCCTTCCGCCGAGTTGGAAATCCAAGACAACGCGTATGCGGCACTCTCGATAATATCGAGACAGCTATGCCTAATACTGAGAATCATCTCATTGTTCAAGCCCTGGACGGATGGACTTACCGCAAGAGTGATGAAAGCCAATCACAAGGGTTTATGTACAAGACCGCCGCGGCGCCAGCTGTCCCAGCAGATTACATGTCCATTTCAGGACTGCAGCGTTCGGTGATTGAAACAGATCCGATACACTGTCTAACACATCGGCGTCTATGGCGGCCTGCGCGCCGGTAGCTGAGGAAGTGATCTTATACAGTGCGTACGTTGCGCTCTCCCCGACCTCGGCAGTTTTGTTCCTGTCCCCAAAGTCAACACTCGTTGCAGAACAAGTGATAAAGGTTCACCGCAAGAGTGATACGAGTTGTTCCAAGGGCTCTATCGCGAGCACAGCTGCCACCCCGGTTTCGTGCCGTGCCAGCTGTCCCAACATTTTGCATGTCCATCTGCGGACCCAGACCCCGGTAAATTTGAGGAGCTCGGTCATGGTGTCTAATACATTGGCGTTCAAGGCAGCCTGCGCACCGAGGGGTGATTTGGTAATGCAGCAGAGCGTGTATATGGCACTCTCAATAACTTCCGATCTTACGTCCCTGATCAAAATTGAATACCCATTTGAAGATAAATTAAAGGCTGGACTCGCCGCAGGAGGTGCACGAGCTGTTGGCAGGCATTTATTGCTAAGAGAGCCGGTCTCGTTTTCTCGTGGTGCGCCAGGTGTTCGAGGATCTTGCACATCGGAATCCTGACCTCCGCGCTCCGTGATTCGAGCAGATTGGCTGCACGGTCCAACACATTCGCGTGCACGGCTGCTTGCGCGCTTTCAGGCCATATGACGATCGAAGATAGTGCCTCTGCTGCACTCGCCACCACCTCCAGGTTTTTGTCCCTGCGCTAATATCAATACTCTGTTGCAGCCCAAAGGAGGAAACTCGCCGCAGAAGCAATACAAGGTGCGTGCATGGCTCTACGCCGAGGACAGGGGCTATCATAGACCTATCGTGGGCGAGCCACGCTAGGATTCTGCACGTCCAGATCTGTGCCTCGGGGTTACGCGATGCAAGCAGTTCGCCAATGGGATATGATACAAGGGAATCGGCGATAGTGCGTGCGTGCTCCTCAGAGTCGGCTCTCTCGTAAAATTCACGGAGCACTGCAACCTTAGTCGAAAGGGAAATGTATTGAAACCTAGGGCATACATCAGCAGAAGTCTGACGGAGTCACATGCGTCTTACGACACATAGCTTGAGTAAATCTCCATGGCCTCTTTCGAAAGTGGCGCATCTCGATTCTTCGCGACAAAATCCAATGCCTGGCGATGGTACATGCGCCTCATCAGTGGCTTCGCGGCGGCATGCAGGGAGATGGTCGCCCCTGCGGGGTTCCGGTCTGACCACCAGTTCCGGACACTTTCGCGCGTTTGCTGGCGAGTCAGCGAAGGCATGGATGGGGGGAAGTCGCTGGGATGGTTAACAGCTTTGCTGATGCTGCGCCTAGGCGCGAACTGTTCCCTATACCCGGAGTAAGCGCTGACGGGGAGTGCCGCTTGGCGGTGTACATAGCTACACGTACTGAATCGAGTCAGTCTCAGCCAGATGACGGACAGGTGTCAGCCCATTCATTGGATCCTGGTATGAAAGTCCAGCTGATAACAATGGCGGTGGGGTAAAGAGAGAAAATAAAGAAAATAAATTGCAATAACAGTTGCCGGAAGTTGCCGCTCATCAGCTTAATTCAGCATGGTATCCCGATTCCACGACATCCCTTCCGGTGCATTCAAGGACTCTCCCCACCCCCTTAAAAAATTGGGCACACTGGAGTGATTTATTTAGAGATTTTCTAGCTCCTCACACTTAGTATCGGTCGGGAGGTGGCGGAGAGAAATAATGGAATATGTCCCATTTTCCGATACCACTCCCCTGGTCCCCGGCGGAGTTTGACTTCAGATCAGACGGCAACTCCCTCTCTCACCAATCGACTTCCACTTGTCCTCTACGTCGCTGGTTCGCCTGGAATATTGTCGGGGTTGATTACCATGATTTCCCCCATTTCTGACTATGCTATACATCCAGATTCTCAAAATTTGCCCGCTAGCGGCGGGTGGTTTCCGTGCATATTTCACCGAATATCCGTAGTTCTCTTCAACGCAACATGGGAGGTGGTCTGACTTGTCACTGGTGTATATCTATTGAATCAGAAACTGTTCCGACCGCTTGAGATTGCTTCAACAGCCCAGATTCACTCGGTATGTCTGCGCATCCGGAACGTGGCTGCCGCTCTTTCCAGAAATGGGCATCCTTATCATTTCATCAAAAGTTGTAAGAGGGGGAAAAAACTGCGCGTCTCAAGGTTTTCGGAAACGGCTGCAACGAAATCCTCGGCTTTCGTTTGCATGTCTTTGGTTTCATCTCCATCGAGGTTATCCCCATCCTTTCCCCTCTCCTCTCCTCGCTGGTTCCTCTTCCGTCGGTGTTAAATGACCCACTGCGCAGGCTAAGCTACACTCCGACACGCACCGCTTTGAAAAAATTTCAATGCATCCCCGTTCGGGTGCATATGCTCACTGTTCCCGCGATTGCTTAATTAAATCCCACTTCCGCAGAACTTAGAACGAGCGATGGAGTCTGTCAAGAGAAACTACGCAGGACTGCGACCTGCGTAATTTGGACCAATTTGGGATCGCAGGGGAAGGAAGACGACGTCTCGTGTCCACTAGCTGTGTTACACGGCTCAAGCGTTCCTTATAAGTATCTCGTCAATTGTCTCGCTGCACCGCAGGAACAGCAAACCTTGAATTGCGGCCACGTACCCCTCGCGCCAGGTATAAAAGGCCATCATGTATGTCCTTTTCATCTAGCCTTTTCCGCCTCTGTTTCGTCTATTCCTGGTTTACGGCTTCTCATTTGGGTTTCTGATTATTCACCAGCGTGGCCTGGACCAGCAAGTTCGCAAGCACCGCATTGTTCGGACCCTGGACTACTCTGTTGAATAGGTCTCCTTTCTTCATCAGGCTTCCGTTTTCACCCATTTTCTGTGGATCCCAATTCATTGGTTTCGTCAAATATATCTCGCTCCCCCGACAACACAACTCTACTGACAACGCAATGACAACGGCTCAACCTCACAATCCGAGTGACGTTCTGATTCGAATTTCGAATGGTTTATGCTGCCTCCTCCTGGTACCTGGTCCGCGGAATACTCGCTCAACTTCCGCGTGATGGCCAACTGATACCTCCGTAATTTCTGGTTCATCTGCTATTGCGTCGTGGGTACTTTGCTACGATGTACATCAATGAATCAATGCATTTCCACTTATATTCTTTACCGACGCCGGAGCAAAGCGAAGGCATTCCTTGTCGGATACTGGTATCGGAAACCGCCGTCAGAAGGAAATTAGCAGGGTATTGTAACGGACCAGCGATTCCTGGGAAGTTTCGGCTTTTGCCGAGATTCTTCCCACGGCTGTTGGGACCCATACACTGTGATAACCCCTACATTTGGGTCCACTGTGGGGTGACTATGGGTTAAGACAGCTTAAACCGTACTCTTGAATTGATTAATGATCCTGGTGTTGCCCAAGCCATACCGAGGATCAGCGGATTGATTACAGCTAGAAGGGGTGGGAGAACGACTCTCAATGCGATTCATTTCCTCACAGACGGAGGCGCACGGCTTTAGCTGGGCGGACTGAGACAAAGTAGACCATTGGCTTTTTTCCACCACGGTCCAAGCCCGAATCGAACGGGCGTCTCCTGCATTGTATCGTAGGATCTTCTTCTATGAAATGCAGGCGCGGGCCACTTCGCAATGGGACCGTCCTACTGTGCAGAGAAGCGGGAATAAGTGGGGAGTTTTGCACGGGTTGCACCTCGAATTTCGGGTACGCAGCGCAGACCGAAAACCGAAATAGAACCAAGAACCTGTCAGCGGCGTGAATAACTTGAACGGGACGAGGGATCCGGGTAGCAGGCTGCTCACCCGCTCGTGTGATTCGCGAATCCAGGAGAAAGAAGAGCTACCTCAACTACTATCCAAGCGCGGGTCGAACGGGCGTTCTTTGAAGCGTTTCCACCGTACATGTAATGTAGGCTTGGACCTTCTTAACTATTGTGCGGGAGGGCGGATAACTGGAGATTGAACGGGCGTATATGCTGGGTACCGCGGACGTTGCGAGATGTGGGATTTGCGTAGCATGAGGGGATTAAAGCAGAGTGGGAGATCGATAGAAGACGATGCATTTGGGATGGAAGGATCTCCTTTCGTTAGTAGCAGAGATGAGTGCGAGGTTGAGATAGCAGCCTGCTAGCTCGGAAAGGGGCTTTGCAAGAGGGGGAGGCGAGAGAGAGAGGCGAGCTAGAGATGTCAGCGTAAGAGATGCGCACAGACGGCATGGGGCAGGTGGACATGCGCTGCTACACTCGCCAGCGCGGGACGAAAAGGTCCCGCGGGACATTAAGCAGACGGAGGAGAGTGTACGCGGAGAGAAGACCGGCGAAACGAGGGACGCCTCACGCCCATTCGAGAGGGAGGGCCAAAGGTGGGAGATAAGGAGCAGGAGGAAGGTGCGGAGGTTCGCGGGCGGAACGTAGTCCATAGATGAGAGACATATCGTGGAGGACCAGTACGCGGATTCGCGGTCGTGTACTTGGAGCTTGAAGGCGAAGGAGTCCTTCCCTCTGATAGATCTTGGAGTTTGGAGTGAGTGGCGGCATCGACAGCGCAGAGCCAAGTACACGGGTGAAGTCCACGAGGAGGAATATGAGCCCCCACCCGCTGGGATTGACGAAGAGACAGTAGATTTTGACCCGCGAATAACAACGCATGGCACGATAGCGGACACGTTCCGCATATTCACAAAAGGCAGTCCCCGGAATCTTCGCGGAAAAGCGCCGGCGACAAATCACAATCCAAACCCTGACCGGGAGGGAATCACTGCATTTACCGATGGCTCAGCTCTGAATAATGACCAGGAGAATGCGCAAGTTGGAGCTGGGATATGTTTTGGTGACCAGAACCCGCAAAACAGAAGCATAAGAGTCTGGAAGTCCACAAAACACAAAGAAGTGTCGAGAAGCATTCGTTTCTTCTTGTGGATGCTCATACATGACGGCTACAAACTCGGTCAATATTGGGAAAAGATCGAGGGCCATGAGGAAAAAAGCACCTGCAGCAAATGCGGGGTAACAGAGTCAATGGAGCATATACTAACGAAATGCGAACTCCTAGGACAGAGTGACATCTGGGAACTAGCGAGCGAGCTTTGGAAATTAAAGACCAAAGAAGATCTACTCCCGCCCACGATGGGCCAAATTATGACATGCGCGGCGATCAAAAGACGCGACGCGGGAACGACGCGTCTTTTCAGAATAATGGTATCTGAATCGGCGCACCTGATCTGGAGACTGCGGAATGAAAGAGTAATCCAGTGCAAAGACGCTGCGTCCCCACGCGAGATCTACAACAGATGGCTTAAATCTATAAACAACCGACTCGGAACTGACTGCGCGTTGACCAACGAAAGGAAATATGGAAGGAAAGCTATAAAAAAGCAGTTGGTCTTGAAAACATGGAAAAGTGTTCTGAGGAACGAGGAGAATCTCCCCAAAGACTGGACGAGGGAGACCGGGGGACTGTTTCATGGATATCTGAGCCAGATTTCACGCGAATTGCTCGGTCCAAAGTGCATTCAGGGCCGCATTGATATCCAGTCCATGGTAGATTTCACTTTTGCCGGCAATATTGAGTAGATATTGAGAACGAGGCAAATCTTTCGGGCACCCCAAATATGCCCAAATAACGTAGAAGCGCAACATTTTGAAGTAAACATTGTAGCTCTGGGGGTGTGATTTTCGGTGGTTTAAAGTACATATCTGTGATCAGGGAGGCAGAAAACCCCCACTATGACAAAAATGACATATGGCAGCACTGTGAATATAGAATGCGGGAAAAGCTTGGTAGCCGGGATCAAAGGGCCTGAAATGCACGCGCAAACACTGCAATTTTGAGGGCCTCACAGGAGCTTTTCGCAGAAATCTTTTTTTGTACAGGATGATACGATACTCTACTACATTCCGATAAAATCTTGACCTCAGAGGAAGCCCCAAAGCTACGTAAATTCTAGCGTTGCGCTTCTACGTTGCGTTGCGCTTCCGGGTTTAAGACTGTATCGGGTGAATCAACAATGATGGGGACGTGTCGGCTTCCGATGCGCCGCCTGAGTTGAGGAAACGTAGCCCCACACGCCGTGTTGAGAGAAATCGGGCACGAGTGCGATAGCACATTTCCTCGGGTGGTTGTATATTCCTCTGGCCGGGTTCAAAGTCCAAGGCCTCACACCTACGGGCGGAGAGCGAACGACTATGTCGGTCTGGAAGGTTCAGAGGCCGCCTGCGGGCACTGAACTGGAAGGGAAGCAGAAATGCTGTTGCTCAATGCTATCTAACGTTCCACCAGAAAAAGAAAAAGAAAATGTACACACGGGTGAAGAGAGAGGTTAGGCGAGTTCATTCCCGATCAGTGATTCAGTGATCCGCGTCGGAGTTCCAAATGCTTTGCGATTCCCATCACTGGTGCCATCCGTGCCGCTCGCAAGCTTCCTCTCGCAGATTTCATTCCTCGTTTCGCCATGCACCGTCTTCAGCTCGGGCATGTGACGCGCGCTTGACGATTCCTTCCCCGCACGAGGGCCACGTCGGGCCGCTGCCCCGGGTGTGGGTGGCTGGAATCACGCGAGACAGCGTCAAGTTATATGTGATTCGCCTGTCTAGTGTCTAACATTTCCCCTAAGCTCTTTCCAGTTGCGCATTCCGCGTCTGCGAGCGGAGCGCCGCCCTCTTCGACCGCTCTTCTCCAGCGCCTGCGCCATTTCATAGTCTGCCCTCTCTGCCGCCCACGCCGTGCATCCGCCCCGCGGCCCCACGTCTCTGCGCTGTCTGTTCCTTCTCCTCCATCTGCCCCGCGCCCGCGCCCTGGTCAAATCGCCCCAGAGCCTCTCAGCACGCGCGTACTCTGAGTCGCGGATCGTGTTATCGCACGCAACAACTCCCTCTCGCAACCCCTTATTCATCGCGTCCCGCGGCGTCCTATCCAACTTTCGCCGTGCGTGCTCCTCAGCACTGCGTTCCGGCGCGCAGGGTGATTCCTCTCTTGGTGTAACTCCCGGGAGACCATCTCCGCGTGCGCGGATGGCTGGAATCGTGAGATCCTGCAGCTCGTACGTCTGTTTCCCTCATCCGTCATCTTGAAGTCCTCAACGCCTCGCATCCCGCGGCTGCTACGTCTGAGCCACGGCGCCGTGCTCCGTGCTGGTCCTCAGCTGTGTTGTACACTCCCGGTCGCTTGCCGTGCGGCGACGCACGGCGGGCGCTCGCACCTTTTTCCCGCCGCCACTGCTCCCCCGCTGCCTTTCAGTAAGTATTGATTGCGTTTGAACCCCCCATTTTCCCAGCCATTATCCCGCGCTCGTGCTACCCGCGCCGCCCCCATTTCCATCTTCCGCTCGCAGCCTCCTCTCATTTCATTTCAGTCCACGGCATGTCCTATCCGTCTTCGTTCCGCGCGCGCCTAGAATCGTGCGATAGATCGGGGGGCGCGCGAGGATCTGGCCGCTGCCGTTTGCGCTGGTGAATCTGTACTTGTTTCACACCCTGCGTAATTGACTCGGGCATTCCCCGTCCTTGAGCGAGTTTGGTGCGACAGCGCTAGCATGCCCTGCCGTATGCTTCCCCTGCGAGATACGAGACGACAGTGGTGACGATGACGATTGATGTTATGATCATCCCTGACCCGCCACTCCAAACTACGACAAAGTCTCGGGCCACGTTCTGTGGCAGCGCCTCAACCGTCGCATCCTCATCTCCTGGCTACTGCCAGAGCATCCTACGCCAGTACATCTTCCCAATCCCAACTCTAAACATCAGCGCCTTCCGTATCCCCTCCCGCTATCCTCAGCGAGCGCTGTACTTTGTCTCTTTCGCAAGTTCGCAGTCCACCGAACACCGGTCTTACTCAGATAAGCACAGACGTGTTCCATATCCCCTCCCGCTAAGTGATGTACGTGTCTTCTTCATCAAGCGCTGTATATATCCCAGGTTCGTCGAAGGCCTGGACGCCGATCTACAGCGCCTTGCTATTCTGCAGTGCATGTTATTTGCGTTTTCCCAACCCAAAACGGGCAACGGGATATTATGTCATCAATTCGGCGGCGCAAAGTACAAGGTATTAGTACAGGCTGAATACGGATACAGGAGAAATACACGGCCCATTATGAATATAGGGTTTGATTCCGCATGATGCAAATGCCCGTAACGTCGCACAAGAAAATCCACCGGCAATGACAATGTAACCCCGAATGGAAGCTCAATGCCCGCGGGGAAGGATGGGGAGCAGCGTGCACACATTTTGCCCATCTTGCCCCCGCCGTGCGAGGCTCTTGATGCGTGAATGCTGCCCGCGTCGCGACTCGTTGGGATATTCACATGGGACATGGCGTCGGGCACATTGACTGCGAGCGGGGCAGGTCAGTTGGCAGAAACAGCGACAGAAAGAACAGGCTCACTTGCACGTCTGGTCCCCGGAGGCCTTGGACGGTCCGCCGCACGCGATCTTGCGTTTGCGGCAGAAGAAGCACGCGAGGGCCTGGCGGTTCGAGCGGCCGTCCTTGCGCGCTTCGGTGAACTTCAGGGTGGGACCCGCTGGGCGGGATGCGGGATGGGTGGGGTGGGATGAGTGAGATTGGTGTGAGCGCGCAGGCGGCGCCGCGTCAAGGGCGGGCGATGGCGAATGGTAAAATGGGGAGAGGCCCGTTCGCGTCCCG